AAAATGACAAAAATATTCACCAAAATTATAGAATCAAAGATATCATCACGAAATGAACAAATCTGAGAAAGGTCTACATGTAGTATCTAAATATGTAATATCAAAGCAATTGAACTTTTGGTTTTTAACAAGAAGTCGAAAATATCACTTTTTACCAAAAATTACAAAAATATTCACCAAAATTAGAGAATTGAAGATACCATCACAAAATGAACAAATCTGAGAGAGGTCCACATGTAGTACCTATATATGTAATATCAAAGCAATCGGACTATTGGTTTTTTACAAGAAGTCGAAAATATCACTTTTTACCAAAAATGATAAAAATATTCACCAAAATTAGAGAATTAAAGATATCATTACAAAATGAACAAATCTGAGAGAGGTCCACATGTAGTACCTATATATGTAATATCAAAGCAATTGCACTTGCGGTTTTTATCATTTTTTACCAAAAATGACAAAAATATTCACCAAAATTAGAGAATTGAAGATATCAACATGAAATGAACAAACCTAAGAGAGGTCTACCCAAGGTACATATACACCAAGTATCAAAGCATTCAGGCTTGTAGTTTTCAAGAAGAAGTCAAAAAAGTAAAACATTGACACGGACGACGGACGACGACGACAGACAATCACTCATATGATAGGCTCCGCTCGACAAAGTCGACAGCGGAGCTAAAAACGTGCTGTTAATAAAAACTACTAAAACTAAACATGTGTCATGTGTAAGTGGGTGTATGCGTTGATGATCTGTGGAAATGCATTTGTGACTGATGCGTTCGATATAACCCAACTTGTAGAAACCTAGCGCGATCACTGGATAATGTTGAACTATGTATGGGTCAACTGCCTTCAAACAAATCAATATATCATTCTATGATTATAATATCACTTACCAAATGCCTGAGTTCATTGAGGTCTCTGCAAACCATATAGAATATACTCATCAGTAAATTTACATAGGATATGTAGAATGATGGGGAATAATCAGATGGGCAGTCATGGGAAATTATTTCCAACATTTCATCTGAAATCAACACAAAACGTCAAGAAATTCAACAAAAGAAGTTTAGTTTTAAAAGATTAATTGATAATAGTTTATGCGTGTCAAAAATGCAAATAAAGAAAAACATTTTAAATTACATATTGAGAAGTTTCGGGGCAAATTTAAGATTATATCTTCTTTGTGTTTTCAGTACTAAGGGGTTGATGCCATTTGCATACCAACAATGAAAGAAAAATTGGGGTCACCCAAAAATGTTTCCAAAACAAAAAGTCAGAAAGGTCATAGAATACTGTTGACATTTGTATTTTTGTACTTGTTACTATAGTAAAATACTTCTTCATAACTCAAAATTCTGCTCATAAGATAGGATGAAAAAAGTCATACTGTTACAAAATTTCAAACAAAGAATTGCATTTAACAAATTCCCAGAGTGATAATGTTCCATGATATACAATTGCTAAATTAGTTATCATTTGTGGCTATGCCATGGTATTGTATCCTTTGATAAAGTACTTTACTCCTACTGCCTCTCTCTACCTAGAAGTAGTTGGGAGCAACTGACCTAATGCTATAAGTTTTTGTTTTATGTGCATTTCCTGATATTAAGTGACATTATTAAATATATCAGGTACAGAGCACACTGAGAGGTCAAAGTTGTATTTACATTTTTGGAACTGTACGTTTAATGCAATGAAAGACTGGATTTGGTTCATATACCGGTACATGCATAGGTATTCCATCAACAAGTAAACACATAACCTGTTGTCACCTATTTTTCCCTTTTATTTTGGCTATTAATAGAGGCTTTTGACAGACAAAATGCACAGACATGGCAAACACATGTAACAGTCTAGCGCACACTGTCAAATGAGAATGATTGTGACTGGAGGGTAAAAAACATGCAATTCTATTTGAGTAGGCATTAAACAAAAACTAGATCTGCTATGACATAGTTTGCATATGTATTTTGATGCATTTAATTTGAGGACACAAAAGGGCGAAGGAATAATGTTAAAAAATTGAATCCATTTTATAAAACAAAATATTTTAAGTGTATCAGATAAAATGGAGAGAACAAAACAGGTTCAGACATGATATCGACTACACAGATAAACAGATATTAGCATGGACAGACCCAAATACAAATTCCATTTCAGGCGATCGATGGGAACTAAAAACAAATCAGTATTCATA